AATTTTTCATTTATTATTTTATTGCTCATCACTCTGTTGAAATAATTGTTAATTATTATATTATAATATTAAAAATGTTAATTATGGAAACATCTCAATAAATTTGTTTTCTCATTATTTATATTTTATAGCAGTTATAAATTTATTACTCCCTTCCGTCCCAAGTAATATGACATTTTTGAAGAAGTTTCTTCATCCCAAAATATTAGACACTTTGGATAGATTAAAGTTTCATTAAATGCATCAATTTTAATATTACCTTTTTTTTCTTTCTAATTAATTTATTATCCTTCTTTTTTCAATATATTAAATGACGGGTATTTTGAAAGTTTTATATTTTTATTTTAAAAGATAAAGTTGTTAAGTGATTTAATGAGATTGTATTGGTATAAAAATTTTGTTTAAAAGTATCTTATAATTTAAAATGGAGGGAGTATTACATTTATTCAATACGAGTGATGGCATTTGACTATTTTCACAATGCGTGTGACTTAGTTTGCTCTTAGGCTCAATAATGACATAGTCCATATTAACATACTCTCAAATATTTTAAGTATTATAAATCAAATGGTTATGTAGAGGTCAAAAAATTAAAGGTGATCTAGCTAATAAATGAGGAGCCATTTTCTATGAGAATATAAATTCAAATACCAGTAGCATCTCGAAGCAGCAAAATTCCGTACGTAAGCTGTAAAAAATTGGAACTATAATTGTAAATAGTCTCTGTAAACTTGATGAACTCTTATAATCTAATTTACTTAATTTTTTGAAAGAAGATATTTAGATGCTTCAACAATGATTTTCATTATTTTTTATTAATTTATATGTGGAATATATATTTTTTTCTCCTAATAAAATACAATCATAAATGAAAATAATAATATAATGTACTTAATTTTTTTTTCAAAAAGATATTATAGATTCTTCAATAATAATTTTAATTTATTTTTTTAAATTTATAGGTGGAATAATATTTATTTTTTTCTAATAAAATACAATCATAAATGAAAATACTTTAAAATATAAGATGGACATAGCGAAGACTCTATTATTAATTAGCATGCTGTATTCTCTTCACGTCATGGATATAATAAGTTGACGTTGACTTGGAAATAAAAGAGTATGAATAAATGATTGTGAAAATTCTTTTTTTTTCTTTTGATCCCATCAATAATTCATGAGTGTTGTTCGTAGGGAAAAAAAAAAAAGACAAGGCAATTTTTTCTTTTCCGAAAAAAGGATATACTTCACTGTGTCTTTTCTTTTTGTCATAAATAGTTGAGCTACACTTGATTAATAATACAAACATGGACAAAAGTTAAAAGATGATATGTGACCATCCATGACTTATTTTTCTCTCCGTGAAACCATGACTACATAATGAGAAGACAAGACGACATCATATAAGTTTTTTTTTAAAAAAAATCATATAAGGCATTTTTTAAGAGATATCATATTGAAGAATTAAGATATTTTGGTATTTTGTATAAAAGTAATTAACAATATTTTTTAAAGAATGTGTCCTAATGAATATTTGAATTAATGAGACTTTTATATTTATTAGTTTATCAATTATCCTATTAAATAGAAATAGACATAAAAAGAATATATAATTTTTGATAATATTAATTTTTTATAAAATTTGGTTAAAATGTCTTATAAAGTTGAAAGAAAGATATACACCTTTATAGCCTCATTTACAAGTCTGGGAGAATATATTTTTTAGTCATAATAAGGCATGCAATTAATTTCTTAACATATGTTTTTTTCCAATTAAATAGTAGTGAGAGAGTATGTTGTTAAGTATGTATGCCAACAATAAATTTTTTTTTCATTTTTCATTCAATTTCATAAGAAATTCTAGCATCTAAACAAACACAATATTTTTCCAGTTTTAAAACCAATCACATATTTTTGATGGCTGGAAAACACATGTTTTTTTTTAAGACTGTTTTTTCTATTTCTTGTATAATTATTTAATATTTAGTATTAATACATCAAATTTTAACATTGTTGGAACTTGGATGTAATGAATGCAATTCTTTTAATGACATTTTTTGCAGTCTTGAATCTAATATCCCATGTTTTAAAAACCCATAACACTAATAAAATTTTATACTTAATTATTTTAACATTAATTAGGAAGAATTACAATTAAAAATTCTTGTAAAGATCAATGTAAAATAAAGGTATTCAAACTACGAATGTAGAAATTGAAGTTATAAAATTTCCATGAAGTTGCACACAAACTCTTCTTTTAACACGTTAATTTTCTTTTGACACGGCAGAAAGGAAGTTTCGTTTCACTTCAACCAAGAATTTCATGTCATGTACTGCGTTTGAAAGGTTAAGTAGGCCATATGCGTATAAAGCGCGTTGCTGCATTTACAGGCCTCATTGTTTTCCTATTAGACTGGCACCACATAAATGCATTGTTGAAATTACCTAATTGCCCTGAGCTTTTTTTTTACAAAAAAAAAATTGGGAGAAATATAGTTTCATTAACAAAGATAAACATTTTTTTTTCTTAACTTTGAAAATTACAGAGATGAAAAAATTATAAGAAGGCCCATTCATTAATCCTTTGTCTCTTAATTATAAGGTGTCAAATAAAAAGATGAAATAATCTTCCAGTTTTACTCCTTAAGTAATAAAGCATTTGCATAAATAATAAGATGACTCATTATCTTCCTCTAATTAATATGGACTTAATTGAAATGTTGAGTTATCTTTTTTAATAAAAAAAATTAAGTAAAATAAATTCAACAATAACTTCCTATTTAACTTTAGATAACATTTGCATAAACAATAAGATGACTCATTATATTTTTACATAGGGTTAAAGGGAATTTTTGCCTATAAACTATTTTATTAGGAACATATAGTATCTTAAATTTATGTGGTAGTTGGTAAAAAAATTGTCGTAAATTTTTTCTCTTCAACATTTGAAAATGATGCATTAGGCACCCTATTAATAAAAAAGAAGAAAAAATATTTATTTTGTTGTAAGTAATCGTGAAATTTTCACAACCCTATTACTTTTTTCTCTTTCGTCATTTTCAATCATAGTGATGCCCACTTGAGCTCGTCTTCTTTTTTGGGAATCCAATCTTGAGAATTTTTAGGATTTCTATTTTTATTGTTGGAAGTGTCAATAAAATTTTGAACCATACACAATAAATATTCTTGAAGACTGTCAATTTATGAAAGCTAAATACTTTGTGTCAAACAAACATATTATATTGATTGATTTGCTAAAATTTATGAGATTATTAGAGATGATTGCTCTGGAATATTGTCCCCTCAACCTCAAAGCTACTTGAGCCACATTTATTGCCATATAGGTAGAAATATTGTGGGAGAAACTCTAAAAAATAATCATCTTACAAATGTGAAAATTATATACTTAATTACATGTCTTTAATTTATCGTGCCTCAGCAACGAAGATATTATAAATGCACATTATGATATATTTATCTATGAAACAAACATATCATAACGTGTTATTGTCATATTGTTCAAACAATTTCAATGCATCGCTTGAGACAAATTAAGTGGCACTTAAACATGTTCATTGTCTAAACAAAATTTAATCCATTGCTCCTTGAGTCATTCTTAAGTTAATTTTCTGTTTTTTATGCAAGAATAATTATTTAGCTTTAATTCACAAAACCAGTTTAGAGTACTTTAGACTTGTCAAGAGTACTCTCTCTTCCCCCCTCTCCACTCACAAACAGAGAAGTGCTATTTTGCTCTAGAAAGTTAGCTTTTAAAAGTGAAGTAAATAATACTGTATAATAACGTGGAATGTCTAAAATTTATTATTTATTACTAAGTTCAATATCATTTCCAGGCACCATTATTCTAATTTCAGTTGAATGTGGGTAAACGAGTTGTCCACTTAGAAATGCTTACCTCTCTAATAAGCTATACTTTCTCTTGTGTCTTACATGTAAGAAAATTAGGTAAATTAGTTCTTTTTTTTTATTTCTTATAGATATTGTCCTATTGGTGGCAATCATATTTTGAGGCACATTTGGGCACTAAATTTAAGAACCTCACTTGTGGGGATTTGAACTTTAGTTTGCTGCACTGTGAGGTACTAGCCATTTCTGCTAGACCTCGCCCTCATTAGTAGGTAAATTAATTACTTATAAAAACTATATGCCTTTGAAGGAATTACATAGGAAGTAGCGGTGAAATGTTCCACGCATTTGAAATAAATAAAGCAAAACTTACCATGCAAATTTCAAGGCTTCATTCTCTCTTTTTATCACTTCCCACTTCAAATACAGAAAAAAATATAATTCAGCACCACCAAAATAATATTAGCGATACATTTTTTGCTTCAAAGCTCATGTGCAATATGTTTTCTTGATTGTTATGACGCAGGAAATATTCCAAGAAGTGTTGAAAACTTGACAATGCTAGAAATGTTGGATCTTTCTGATAATAACTTGGAAGGTATGCTTTCAAGAAATAATAAGTGCTGTTGGCCAAAAGAACAAATAATAAGTGCACTTCATTTTTCCTTAGAAAGATATTTTATGCATAAACAATCATATAATTGTGTTAGTACATTTTGTTTTGTTGCTATATTGCAAGATGCATTCCTTAAAAAAAAAAAAAATAAGGTAATGTCACGAGGCGCTGTTTGTTTTTAAATTTTTAAACTTTTATCAAGCAGTTTGAAAAAATTAATATAACGAGATACTAGATTACAAATCCATAAATATTGTACTTTCAGTATTTAAATCCTATAAAAAAGATGTGACTTATCCAACATTTATAAATATATATATATATATATATATATTTAAATTTATATGTTTTGAATGGATTTTTATATAATCTGAAAATGTCTAAAAGATATTTCTCCACAAGCCTTTATAAACTTTTTTATTTTTAATATATTTTTATATATTTTATTCAGCTTCCTACACATTTTCTTAATCCTCCAATAGTTTCTTGTATCTTTTGTCAATGTTCAACGCAAAACAAGCACAACTTTTTCTTTTTTCTGAAGAAGAGTTATCTATCTCCGTTCTCTCTCTCTCTGTTGTTCTTTCGTTTTTTTTTTTGGTGGCCAACATCTATCTCCATTCTCCAACAGACATTTTTTGTTCGTTTTTGTTTATTGTCAATATAAATACGACGTATCTTTCCAATGTGACATACATAATGTGAAGCAAAATAAAATATTTGTGAAGAACCTGTGTGGATCATCACCATTCAGTCTTAAATATCTTTAAATCTAAGTGAAGCTCAAGAAAATATATACTGAAAGATTGAAGACTATATATATAGATAACTAAAAACCATTCTTTTAAGTATTGGAATAAATAAGTATAATATTAAAAAATTAGTTTAGTATTCAACTTGTATGTTATAGAGAACAAAATATCTATTTTTTATGATCTTTTCAGCTGTATCAATTTTTTTTCTAGCTGCATGTAGTTTATGATATTATATTAAGGGCCTGTAACATTGAATTCATATAGAACAAAAAAAAAAAACAATGAAAGAAAAGAAAGAGAAAAAGAAATAAATTGCGTGCAATTGGCACAGTAGGAGGGGATCCACTTTTACGTGTCATGGGTTATATTTTTATTTCAAAAATTTGGACAGTAATCAACAAATTATGTGACTAATTTTTTTTTTTTTGCTTTTCAAAATTTTTGTGAATAATTACAAACATGCATCATATTTTTGCAAGCACATTCCATGAAAAATACCATTAATTTTTTGTAATATTATAGTCGAAACATATTCACTTGAGTGACAATGTTAATATGGAGTACATTTGTATTAAAACATAAAGTCTCTGCCTCACTTGTTTCTCTTAAATTGTAAATGAGAAGTAACAAATTGAAAAATATGAAACTTTAATCCCCATAGTTTTGGCAAATGTTTAGAATCAGTTCCTCAAGCAAAAATGAATTATTACTCAATTTATCTAGGTTTTAAAAGATAAAAACTAGAGGTAAACATATATACGAAAGTACACAGCGCCAAGTTTTATTCAAATTGTTTTGTGAGTTTTGATATATACTGTTAAAAAAATTTCATATTATTTATGGTTCACAATCAAAATAACTTTAAAAACTGCATTCACAAAATTTGGTTTATTATTTATTTTTCGTTTGTTGTAATCTTCTTATACATGAGAACTCATAATAATGTGGTTTTTTTATTATCATATTGCAGGAAATACTCCTCAAACAATTGGTTATCTAACAAACCTTAAAATTATATATTTAGGTGCTAACAAGTTGTCTGGTGAAATACCAAGGAATATTGGAAAGTTGACAAAACTTCATGCGCTAGACCTCAGTGCAAACAATATAGAAGGTATACTTTCAACTAATCATAATGTTAAACTTTTCAGCAACTTTATGTTATTTTTTTTTTAAAGTTCATTCAAGAGCTATACCATATATATATATATGGGCACGTCGCTGCAAGTAAGGGTCTACAAGTTGTCCTTTAACAGGTTTATAGAATAAGGATGATCCTAAAACACTTCTTCTAAAATTAAAAATTAGATTTATTAAAGATGAGTTGTCATATATGGACACTTGTTGCTAGCATTATAAGCGATTTTTCTTATATCTATATCACATATTACTACTACATTTTTCTCACTCGTTTTCTAAGTAATATTAACAAAACTGCATTTTCTCAGGATCCCGGAAACTTGATTTTGATTTAAAAATTTGATCTTGTTTACAATAACTTACAAGGCATACTATTAATAAATTGAAATTTGGTATCATCAATCTTTTATTTCCTTTGCGTTCCTGTTTTGTCTTTTGAAACTCAATAATTATAAAATTTAATGCTAAAAGCTTTCCAGTCAAAACACCGTTAATTATTTGTAATATCAGACTTGAACATACTCATTTGAGTGGCCATGTTAATACGGAGCACATTAGTATTAAAATATAAAGTCTCCCCCTCACTTGTTTCTCTGAAATTGTAAATGAGAAGTAACAAATTGAAAAATATAAAACTTTAATCCCTATAGTTTTGCCAAATTTTTAGATCAGTTCCTCAAGCAAAAATGAATTATTGCTCTATCTATCTCGGTTTTATGATATAAAAAAATAGAGGTTAACATATATACAGCAATACACAGTGCCAAATTTTGTTTGTGTTTGAGGAGGTGTTGGGCAAAGAGAATGAGATTTTGGAATTTAGTTATTGATTTTGTTTTTTAACTTAGTAATGTATAATAGTTAACGACGTCATCTATCATGTAAGAATTTATTTGCAGCATTATCCCTTTTCTAGTCTTTGATCGGTTCTCTAAGTGTTTGCTTTTGAAGGTTGTAGCCAGTTTCCCTATTAATTGCTCTAACTATTGTGAATCTTGTGCTTTTTTATCGTTAAATTTTCTCTCAGGTCATATACCACAAGGTATTGGACAAGTGGCTATGCTCCAAGATTTACGTCTTTTCAAAAATAATTTACAAGGTAATTTTTCTTCTATTAATGATCTAGCTATATGTTACTCCTTTTTAGAATGTTTTCTTATTATTACTATGAAAAGCAATGTATATATTTTATCTTCCTATTTCCCCCTTTGTTTGTAAGTTTTTGTATGTGTGAAATTTTCTTTTCGAACTATACATTCTTTATGCATAGTATTTAGTTCTTTTTAATTTTAGGGACGCAAGTTAGGATATCTTGTGGAGCATTTTGTTTGTTGGGAACAAAGAAAACTTCACTTGGAGTTGAAATGATTTTATATTCTTCTTCCTATGAATTGTGAGTTTTCGTTTCAAGGATTTTGTTTCTTAATATGGACAAAATTTTAATTGTACAATTTTATAATTTTTTCATTTCATATTTTGTCATGCTCCCTCTTAATATTTTTTTAATTAATGGTGAGAGAGACGTCCAACAATGTCTGGTACATGGTAGCCTCCAATCGAAGTATACCTGTGGCTAACCCAAAAAAAAAATAAAGGAATTAATTTTTAAACAAAATAAATATAAATTTTAGGAATAAATTAGAGGAACTCAAAACAAAATAAGATTGCACAAAGTAAAAACTTAAAGTAGTGCCAATGGCCTTGTAGCCTAGTGGCAAGTCAGTTTTTCTGTAAGTCAGAAGTGGCAGATTCAATCTAGCTTGTGACCTCAAGCTATTAGTGTCTACCCTTTTAAGTTAAAAAAACTTAAAGTGGTATTTTACCAATAATATATGAAAAGGAGAAGCCATGAACATGAAGGAATGGGTAGGGGAGGCATACCAACACGCCCTCCCTCCCCCCCCCCCCCGGGCAAAGGGCAAAGAGAAGAAGGCTAATGAATTTTCTGACAAATGCAATTATAAATTTGCCACCAAATTTTGTTTTCTAATCTCATGAATAACATTGACTTTTTGGTCAAAATACAATTAATTAATATATTAGAGTTGAAGTGTACTTATTGAGTGACAATATTAATATCAACATCAATATTAAAATATAATGCCTTTATCTCATTTGTTCTATTTATGGTAAACGTGTATTTAAAAATAGAAAATATAGAACTCGATTTTGCCAATTTAAATTTTAATACAGCAATAAACGCTGTCATTATATATCAATGTAGTGCATAAAACTTTGTATCTATATTATCATTTCCTTTGGGATTAATTCTTCAGTTCATGTTCATTCTATATAACTTTATTGAAGAGGTTCAGCAAAAAAGTGCAGAGTGTTACAACTACATTTTTTCCCCCTTTTCTCATGCTTTATTGGATATCATCGCAAACAAATTTTGATAACTCTACTAGTCATTACATTACGATCCCATGACTTTAGTTATTGTTAATTTTAATGACACTGGTGGTTGTGATGTCTTCTCTTTTGGAGCATCTAAGTTCGTTTTTCTTCAAATTATCATGTCCTAATGAGCAACTTTTAATTTTGATATTTCACATTTACCTTCTCTATTATCAGTTTTTGTATTCATGAAATTTCTTGTTTCCATAATTATTTATGCATAAAAATAAGTCTTTCATCATTTTCAATCATAGAAATGCCAGCTCGGTCATGTCTTCTCATTTGGGAATCCAATTTTGGGAACTTTTAGGATTTCGATTTTTTGTTGTTGTAAGTGTCAATAAAATTTTGAACCATACACAATAAATATTCTTGAAGACTGTCAATTTATCAGAGCTAAATACTTTGTGTCAAACAAATATGTTATATTGATTGATTTGCTTAAAGTTATGATATTATTATAGATGATTGCTCCAGAAATTTTTGTCCCCTCAACCTCAAATTTACGTGAGCCAAATTTGTTGCCGCATAGGTAGAAATATTGTAGGAGAAACTCTAAAAAATAATCATCTTATAAATGTGAAAATTATATACTTAATTACACGTCTTTAATTTATCTTGCTTCAGAATAAAAGATATTATAAATGCATATTATGATATATTTGTCTTATCAAACAATATATCATAACAAGTCATTGTAATATTGTTCAAAGAATTTCAATGCATCGCTTGAGACAAATTAAGTGGTACTTAAACATGTTCATTTTAAAAAGAAAATTTAATCCCTTGCTCCTTGAGTCATTCTTAAGTTTTTTTTTTTTTTGGGCTATGGATCACCTTTTCTAGATGTGTCACCTGTTATTATTAATGAAAGTGGATTCAACAATAATACCATATTAAAGGCTTATAAAATAAATTTATATATTGGCGAACAAAAGATAATATAAATGCGTGTTAATATTCTGTTTTTATGCAAGAATAATTATTTAGCTTTAGTTCACAAAACGAGTTTAGAGTACTTTAGACTTGTCAAGAGTACTCTCTCCCCCTCCCCTCCACTCACAAAGAGAGAAGTAATATTTTCCTCTAGAAGGTTAGTTTTAAAAAGTGAAGTAAATAATACTGTATAATAACGTGGAATGTCTAAAATTTATTATTTATTACTAAGTTCAATATCATTTCCAGGCACCATTATTCTAATTTCAGTTGAATGTGGGTAAACGAGTTGTCCACTTAGAAATGCTTACCTCTCTAATAAGCTATACTTTCTCTTGTGTCTTACATGTAAGAAAATTAGGTAAATTAGATTTTTTTTTTATTTCTTATAGATATTGTCCTATTAGAGGCAATCATATTTTGAGGCACATTTGGGCAGTAAATGTAAGAACCTCACTAGTGGGGGTTTGAACTTTCGTTTACTGCACTGTGAGGTACTAGCCATTTTTGCTAGACCTCGCCCTCATTAGTAGGTAAATTAATTACTTATAAAAACTATTTGCCTTTGAAGGAATTACATAGGAAGTAGCGGTGAAATGTTCCACGCATTTGAAAAAAATAAAGCAAAAGTTACCACGCAAATTTCAAGGCTTCGTTCTCTCTTTTTATCACTTCCCACTTGAAATACGGCAAAAAAAAAATATAATAATTCAACACCACCAAAATAATATTAGAGAATCCTGATACATTTTTTATGCTTCAAAGCTCATGTGCAATATGTTTTCCTAATTGTTATGTTGCAGGAAATATTCCAAGAAGTGTTGAAAACATGACAATGCTAGAAACGTTGGGTCTTTCTCACAATAACTTGGAAGGTATGCTTTCAACAAAATAACAAGTGCTGTTGGCTAAAAAAGAACAAATAATAAGTGCTCTTCATATTTCCTTTCATAAGATATTTTATGCATAAACAATCATATAATTGTGTTAGTACATTTTGCTTTGTTGCTATATTGCAAGATGAATTCCTTACATAAAAAAAAAAAAAAGGTAATGTCACAAGGCGCTGTTTGTTTTTAAATTTTTAAACTTTTACCAAGCAGTTTGAAAAAATTAATATAACGGGATAGTAGATTACAAATCCATAAAATATTGTACTTTCAGTATTTAAATCCTATAAAAAGATGTGACTTATCCAAGTTTTATATATTTTTATACATATATTTTTTTTCAATTTTTATATGTTTTAAATGGATTTTTATAATGTATAGAAGATATTTCTCCATAAGCCTTTATACACTTTTATTTTTAATATTTTTTTATATAATTTATTCAGCTTCCTAGACATTTTTTTTAATCCTTCAATAGTGTCTTGTATCTTTTGTTAATGTTCGACGCAAAACAGGTGATGCATTATATATAGCAAGATGCATTATATTCCTTAAAAAAAAAAAAAAAACAGGCGATTTCACAAGGAACTGTTTGTTTTGAAATTTCTTAATCTTATTAAGCTTTTTGGCTATATCAAAAGGCTTAGAAAATATCATAGTTTAAATGCAGTTTAACACCATAGTTCATTTTAAACCCCCACTGCACCATTTTTCTCTTTTCGTAAACAATATTAAAAATATTATAGTGCAAATGCAATTTGAAAAAATTAATATAACTAGATACTAGATTACAAATCTATAAAATATTCTACTTTCGTTATTTAAATACGTTAAAACAGGTGTGAGTCATCCAAGTTTTGTATAATTTTTATATATTTTTTAAACTCTTATATATTTTACTTGGAGTTTTATATAATTCAAAAATATTATTCCGCAAGCCTTTATACACTCTTTTATTTTTCAATATTATTCTATCTATTTCACTGAGCTTCCTAGACATTTTTTAAGTCCTTCAATATTTTCTTGTATCTTTTAGTAATGTTCGACACAAAACAACCACAACTTTTTCATTTTTTGAAAAATAGCCATCTATCCGCATTCTCCAACAAACATTTTTGGTTGGTTTTTATGTATTGTCAATATAACTACGACTTATCTTTCTAATATGATATACATCATGTGAAGTAAAATAAAATATCTGTGAAGAACCTGTGTGGACCATCACCGTTCAGTCTTGAATATTTTTGCATCATGTGTGGAATTAGCTCTTGATTCCAATAATTTACAAGGTATAACTTTATGCAAATTATAATTCACTGTAGATTATTTCCTTTTCTTACTTATTATCTCTTGCAACTTGAAATTACGAACTTAGTCGCTAATTGGTTTCGTCAAATTGCTATTAATTATATATCCCAAAATGTATAGGTCTAGAATAAACTTTTCTTTTCTCACAAAACAAAAATTGGATTATATTTTTACGCATAATGTTTAATATTTTATAATGTCATTGAGAACTCAACTTGTTACAAAGATTTCAAATATAGAAGAGGATAATTTCAGTTAGGTCTCTTGTAAGTAAACTTACATTAAATTTCAAAGGACTTTTTTGTCCAACTGCTGATATATTCCTAAGAAAAATAAACCATTACAGTACAACTGAAACCGCAAACAACAACAGAGTAACAAAACAAGGAGAACAACAGAGCAAGAACAGAATTAGTAACAACATAAGAGAGATCAGCTAAATAATTTTAACTACTAGATGAGACAAAAGAAGTGATGGTGACGACACCTATCCTATTAGAACCAGCAATGACACGCTTGATTCTTAATTTCAAAGGACTTTAATGAACTTAAAAATCAAGCATATTTACTATATCCAATTTTAATAAGGAAGGGTGTTTTATTAAAAAAGATGAGTATTTTTGTAAGTTTTAATTTTTAATTTTATAAAAATTTCTTGGGATTTAAATGCAAATTTTCTAATTTAAATTTAATTTAAAAATTAAGTACAAATAATTTTAACTAAATATTGGCCCGTGTCTCTTTTTTAACTTTCCCACCCTAATATCTCTTCAAATACAAACAAAAATGACACTGTACATTAGGTAATAGAAGCATAAGCGCATCAACAAATCTATCATTCATAGCTGCAACTTTTAAACATTTATATCAACACTTCCAGTATTGTACTTTTTATTTTGTTAGATTGACACACACACATAATTATATAAAGAGTTACTCTCTCTGTTCAAAAATATAAAGCATTTTTTGAGAAGTTAAATGTTAAAAAATATAAGACATTTTTAGTCTTTTGAGATGAAATCATTGCCTTTTTGTCCAAAAGTACCCCTATTGATAATGACTTTATATTTATTGTAAGGTGTTTAATAAGGATAAATATGAAAAGATAGGATTAGTTTAAAAGTAGGTAACTACTTTATTGAGGGATGAAATTCACTTAAAAATGTCTTATTTTTTTAAACAGAAGGAATAGTTTATAACCTTTGAAATTTTGTTGATAATTCTATAGTCGCCATTGTAGTCTTTCCCTTTTTTAAAAGGTTCTACTTACTATAACTCCCATAAATTTCAATGACATAATATATCTTAGATTAAATATTTTAAAGTATATCATATTTTATAATTAAACTTTTGGTTAAATATTTATATTAAATATTTTAAAGTATATCACATTTTTACATATCCAAACTATTTACTCTTTTTGGTTGTTTTCACTTAGTTAGTTATAAGAATTTTAAGAGATAAAGGGCTCATGTGTTTTAGCTTATTTTATGAAAAAAATAATTTTTTTTAAAAAAATTATTTTGTGATTTTAAAAATGTTTGTTTAATTTTTTGAAAATAATTAGAATAGAAAATTAAAATTTTTATCATTTTAAGTAACTACTTTGAGAAAGAATGTTTTAAAAATGTGGGACGCAAGAAGATATACTAAGATTTTAAAATAATTAAATAGTAATTTATTTTTATAAAACAGAAATAAAGAAAGATATTATAAAATTTAAAAATAACTAGCAAATAATTACTTTTTTATTATTGCAACCAAACATAGAAATAATGTATGCTTTTTATAAAATTTCTACAAAATAATTCTTTTATAAAATCCCTAAATTACCTAATAATGACTTATTTTTTAATCCTTAACAAATGAACCGAAAAAATACAAAGGATGCATAATGTTAATACATAAACAGAAAGTAAAATCTGGATGGATCCAACGTCTAATTCAACGCTGGTTTATCCAATTTTGTTACTTATCAATCACAGTCAATTTTACTTTTATTGGCCATAAACATCATTAGAATTTTAATTAAGAGGAATAAGGGGGTGTGAAATCAAATTCTGATTGGGCTTTTATAGAATGATTAGGTGGCAGCATGGCATATATCGGGCTTTATTTGAACAAAAATTAATCTTCGGCATAAAATACCAAAAGAACAGGTTCAAGCTATATCATGTATGGATTCGCCAAACACATGATGACTGATCTTAAAATGTGTAATCAATTTATCTAACTGACAGCTTTTCACTCGCAAGAATTTTATAGATGGCATGAAAAAAAACAAACAATATCTAAAGATAACCAAATTATTAAGCTATCTACATTATTTTGAATTGGGTCTGAGATGAGAATCAGAAGTGTGTGAGAGATTTTTTTTTTAAATATAGATATATGCATAAACTGTGATATATATATATTTCAATTTCAATTTTTAAGTTTTATTGTAGATATTTTTAAAAGTAATTTACTAATTTTATGATTTGAGAGAAATGTTATTAGATAATTGATGGTGTATAATAATATAAAACTTATAAATACCTTATTGGTGGGCAATCTATAAGTACATCTGTAAGTAATTCTTGAACCTAGAGGCTTGTCCTACCCTTGGTGAGCCCCCAGACCTAACTTACCTAAACTTTCTAAAAGCAAATATAAAACTTAAAATACAAATATATTAACATATTAACTTGGAAAAATGGCAATAAAATCCCATCCAAGAATAAAAATAACAATTAGGTCCCTTGAAATGTCATAATTCTTTTGAAGTCTCTAGGTACCTTTCTAACATCAATGATTTCTGTTTAACTATGAAAAATTTATAAACTTGATATGACATAAAATTTGGTGGTGATGAAATCTATTTATCTATTTAAAAATAAAAGAAAAAATAATTTACTCTTTTTATGGATAAGTTTATTGCGTATATGCAAAACACATTTTTTCGTGTTATTGATTTTTTCTTTTTTGAAGATTTTCCTTTCCAACTTTGTGCCCTCCTATACGGCTATTCAAGTTATTAAAGTCAGCTCATTTTGTGCATTTATGGAAACAATTTGGCAAAAGTTTGCTTCTTTGTTCAAATTAATTTCCCCTGAGAAAATTAACGTTCCGTAATTCTGTAACTGTTATTTTTCAATGACATATTGATGATAATAATTTCTTTAATTTGGTTAAGATAAAATAATCCAATGTTCTTTGACATCCTCTTTTCGCCAGCTAGACAATTTGTCACTTTAGTTGATTTATAGAATTTCTTTTGTAGTTACGTTAAAACCATGTAAAATTTTTAAACATTTACAGTGCAATATGTTGCTTATAATTTGCATGTGTTGTTAGACTTGGTAAAAAAGATTCACCATACATGGACACCCGTAGGATTAATATGCCATCTTTTTTGTGTCTTTATCACATATGTGGGAAATATTTTCAATAGATATACCTGTGACCAATTCGAATTCAATATCTGTAAGCCTTAATTTATTTTTAATTTTTTTTGGTAGGTGATATACCAGAAGGCATCGGAAAATTGGATATGCTTCAAGAGCTATATCTTGATTATAATAATTTACAAGGTAATTTTTTTCATCAAATTATGATATTCTGGCTACTATAATTTTTCCCTCTCTTTAGTTGTTTTCTCAGTATTACTATGAACAACCTTGATTTTTCTTTTCCTA